ACTTCAGAACACTGTGTTGTACATGATAAAAACATGTTATTTGTCAATTTAAAAGAAAGTTTAACAAATAAAATTAATTTGTAAATTGAAAAAAAGAAAAAGAAGCAGGTGACCAAGAAGCCACACCCGATCTCAGGGACCCCAGGGGACCAGGCTGCTGCTGTGGGCCGCCTGTTGCGGGAGGTGCTGAAGCAGCTCATTGGCAGGTGCTCTCCTGGAAGCAGCTGTGACTCGCAAGCAGAGCCACAGCCACGTCTTGGCTACTGAGGACAGGATTCCCCAGAGCTCGCCCAGGAGCTGATTCTGCTCACAACTGACCTGGGAGTATGACGGCTTCTCTTACTGCCTTCTGAGCCTTGCATGAATGCTTGTCGTGTGAGAACCTGGCACTTATCAGGAAAGCAAAGCAAGTCTGGGAAGTGCCATTCCAGGCTTCTCTGCTTTACGCAAAGAAGAATGAAGGGGGTGGGGGCACGGGGAAGGCAGTGACTGAGTTGGCAAAGGGCCCTCTGGCACTATCCAGTCCTTTCGTCAAATCCTCGTCCGTCCATATCCTTTGACCCATATCTAAACTAGCAGGCAACCACAATAACATCATGTCCTGCTGACTCTACTGTCTTTGGTCCAGTTGGGCACGCACATGCTTCTCTCCAATAAGGGAAACAAAAAGTCCAGTAAGTCACCAAACCCATCTCGAGTTGTGTTCATTCGTCACCTGATTTGATCATGACCCGTCTCTGACAAACTATAACTTAAAGACTGAATTAGGAGCGTAATTCCTTCTCTCCTACGTTATGTCCTATGACAAGAAAGGGAGGGGCTACCTGGGTTTGTATACAGCAATAGAGAAATAACCAAGCCAGGAAGAAGACAGGCAAACCGTGGTGATCTTGAACTCTGCACCCTGCAGGCTCTGGTTGACATGTTTGTAATGCCTTCCTCCCCTGCATCTGCTGGCTCCCCTTGCCCTATCCTAGCACTCAGACCTTCTTATCTAAAGAGCTCAGCAGTAGTTTAAGCTGGTGGCATGTTGGGAAATTCCCAGTTTAACATTTGTAAATTTATTCCTATGCACTTTCCTCAGATTCCTATTGGCAAAAACTCTGCAATTCTTTTGATGTGTGTGGTATCTCCTCCTAAGCTCTCTTCCCAGTTTCAATCTGATAACAGAAAGAGCTTGGCTTTCAGGTGACTTGAGCATCTCCCTATAACACGTCTGCTCAGAAAAGGTTCATCTATTTCCAAGTCTTCAGACAAGGGGAGTCTAGCCTCAGTCAAGGGAGTGGGGGGGGGGGCTGCTTCTGATTGCCCAGGGGCTGAGGGATATTGTGGGAATTCAAAGTCCTCAGGGTCCTTAGAATGCACCTGCCTGTTCTCAAGACCTCATCTAGCTCTCAGAGCCCAGTCTTGCCTGATCACTGTCCTACTATGTTCATAGGAGATCTAGCAAGGCTTCCCTTTAAACTTGTGTAATTCAGCAACATGAATATCAAAAAGGTCTGGCTTTTGAGTGCCTCAGGGCCCCGCCTGGAATCCCAGGGCTTGGAGCCAGGGACCAGACACCCTGCCCACATCCAGGCATACTGCCAGCACCGTGGGGCCCCACCCGTGGGGCTGGGGCATCAAGCCAGGGACACCAGTGCCTTGGGGCCCTGCTCAGGGGCCCGGGGCTTGGAGCTGGGGACCAGACCACCCACCATAACCAGGTACACTGCCAGTGCCAAGGAGCATGCCAAAAACATCACCTCCACATGGGTGGCCCACCACAGCCACAATAATAACCACGGCTGCTGTGAAAGTGGCTAGACATCACAGCCACCGTGCAGATGGTCCACCAGCCACTGGAGTGCATTGACACAGGAGTCACCAGTAGAGACCAAAGAAAAGAAGAGGAAGTCTCTCTCCACAAAGCCCATTCCAGAGTGACAGAAGAAGCATCTGCTCTGTGATAATATTGGGGGACCTGAACATACCTTTCAGCATTGGACAGATCATCTAGGCAACAAATCAACAGAGTAACCATTACTCTTTCAGAGGGAAAGAAGAAATCTAGGGTTATCAGTGGTGGGAGGGAGAGGGGGATAGGGAGAGATTGGACAAGGGGCATAAAGCATAAGTAGGATTTATAACAATATACATATTAATAATATTGATTTGATCAACATATGTCAACATTGAATCCCCAAAATATGTATAATCAATTATGATTCAATAAAAAATATATAAATTTAAAACTTCAGTAAAAAAAAGTAAAAACTGACAAATCGGACTTCATCAAAATTAAAAATTTTCGCTCTTTGAAAGATAGCAATGAGAAAACAAAAAGGCAAGCCAAAGACTGGGATAAAATATTTTCAATACATATACCAAAGAACTTGTATCCAGAATAAATAAAGAAACTTTAGAAGATGAAAAACAAACAAACGAAGAAAAGGTCTGGCTTTTGGAACCACCGCCTCCGTGGCTGCAAGACTAGCAGGCTCTGTGAGGGAGGTCATGGAAACGCTGGCTGTCCAGCCAGGCCTGTCACAGCCCAGCTGGTCTTGTTCTCTGGTTGCTCTCTGCTGTGGAGCAGGGCCAGCCTGCCCACACTCCTCATGCTCCTTCTTGTCATAGATAACAGCAGCTGGTGGTATCTCCAACACTGCCGGGGGAAGTCATCTCATCTGTTAAGGAGACTTGGTTAAGGAGACAGAAGCCGCTCTAGGTGTTCCAAATAGGCAGGGGAACTAGAGGCTTACACAGCCAGTGCGGTGCGTGAACTTAGAAAAGCCTTGCTAAAACAGGGGGTTCGTGACTTTCCCTGGAAGTCGTATATGCCTCATGAGTGCCAAGAGATGTCTCCACCGCCACCCCTCGTGGCCACCTGGACGGCCAAAGCCGGGGCTTCACAGGAGTCTGCCCGGAACCTACGGCGGATCTCATGCCTGCTCTCTCCAGTGCACCTGCTTGCAACTGCTTGCTTAGAAAAGCGGCCTGTTTCAGGTCTCATACCTAGGTCTTTAATCCATCTTGAGTTGATTTTAGTGTATGGTGAGAATTACTAAGGGAAAATATAGGTGAAACACTTCAGCAGTTAGGTCAGGGCACAGGCTTTATGAACATGAGCCCAAAAGCACAAGCAGCAAAAGAAAAAATAAACAAATGGGACTATATCAAACTAAAAAGTTTCTGCATGCACCCAATACCAGAGCAACCAGATATATCAAGTAAACATTCTTAGACATAAAGAAGGAGATAGGTCCTAATACCTTAATAATGGGTGATCTGAACACCCCTCTCTCCATATGGGACAGGACTTCCAGGCAACAAGTCAACAAAGAGACACAGGATTTAATCTATACCCTAGACCAACTGGACTTGACAAATATATACAGAACATTTCACCCAACAGGTAAAGAATACACTTTCTTCTCATCAGCTCATGGTATATTCTCCAGGATAGACCACATATTAGGCCACAAATCTAGGCTCAGAAAATTTTTAAAAATT